CCCTGCTATTGCTTCTCCCATTTCGGGAGCCCCGAATATTATTTTCAAATAAAATGTTTAATTAAATAGAATTTATTCGAAATTTTATTCGATACAATTCTCGTCTGACAAAATTAAATCGAATTCAGTCCTGTCGCTGGCACTGTCCGTCATCGGATTATTAAGGTTTGTGCTCCAATTTTTAACCACCTCGAGCTTTTATACCGTCACAAGTAATTCATTACGGTCTTAAAAATTCACAAAGAAATCTCGACAGCTTCTCGGCTCCTTTGCGTTCGATCAAAACGACTCTGAGACTCTTCTGTGAAGTCGAGGGACGGCCAAGGGCTGACAGAATGGAAGGACCGAAACGGAAAAGATGGCCAAGGATAAAAAAAAAAAAAAAGGAACGATGATGAGACAGCACTCGGTTTCTATCGAAAGAAAGGACCCCACGGCGTTATACTAAGTCTTTATGATTACATATAAGCCCTCGTGCGACCTCCACAAAAGCGTTTCCCTCTCACAAAAGGCTCCCTGCACCCCTCGTGTTGTCGTGTGCACTCTCTTTAAAATTTTAAATCTCCATTATGTCGCGGAAACCGTTTCCAAACCATTATGAAACGACGAATTATTGATTTATCCACGCGAAACTCCATCTTTGGGAATTTTTTCATCCGAGCAAAGCAATTTTCGAAACATATTCAAACTCTGAAAACATATTTCAGCGTGTTATTAAATCACACGACCAAAGCCTCCATTTTTAATTGAATTTCACCAAAAGAGCTTTGGTATTTTGTTGTGTCGCTCCAAAGTAAAACTTTCTATAAATTTTCCAAGTACAAACGACTCGAAAATGTCGAACAAATTCTTCTTTTCGCGATTCGTTCGAGAATTATTTAAAACTTTTAAGGGCTCGTTGCAAACACCAAGCTTCCACCCTTGAATTAATCGTGAAACGAATCGCGGAAAAATTTTTAAACTCTGTAGAGCCGTTTGAATTTGAAAAAATTTTCGCGGAAAAGAATCGCCTTTAATTTCACGGAGAGCGAAGGGTTTGGCCTTCGAAACGAGCCTGGCGAACTATCCGATTTCTTTTCGCGAAGTTACGCTGGTCCAAATATCAACGATAAAAAAGTTGGAACAAAATCGACGATCCTGCACTGGCGACTCCCACCTCGTCAGGTTTTCGTTTTCTTTGCAATATTCTGATAGGTCAGAGGTGAATTTGCAAGTTTTCCTCGTCGCTCGTTCTAAACTGTTTCCCAGTTTCTTCGGGATCCAGTTTCAGAGTCGCTCGACGAAGTTTGGAGTTTGACACTTGGACGTCGGTTGTCGAACTAGGCTTTCACGCTACAACTATAGACTTGTCCGCGCCATTATCGCGGCAAACATTCGCCTCAGTCGTGCGGGTACATGATGAAAAAAAACGATTATCTTTCAGCATAAATCACCCAATACATGCAACTTTACTTTTTCAATTTACATTTTTCACAAATAGGCTGTTTATTATCGAGTCATCCCATATAATTATCGTTCGAAACAAAAGACCCAGCACAGATCTTATGGAAAATGGCCCCCGGTTAAATTAGCTGAACTTCTGATATGATGCAGTTCATGATGTCTTGGTGAAATGTTCCAATGTGCCTAAGCTCGTAAATTGAACAGTTTCCGAGATACGGGGGATCAAAAGTCAATAATAGTGCGCCTCATTCTAGACTACCAGGTTTGAGCATATTTGAGTGTAAGAAGCACTGTTGTACACTGTCCACTTATTTGGGAGTTTATGAGTCATATTTAGATATACATATGTATTTTTTTTTATTCAGTAAATTATCTTTATGACATAGAAATTAATCCTTAAATGTAAGGCTGTTTTCTATTTACCTGTTATAATTTCCGAAATGCACAGGATAGAAGAAAAGTTATTTATTTAAATTCATTAAAGTCATGATCTATCATAACACCCCCTCCCCCCACCTCTTTTTCTTTTTAGTCGTTCGTCACATTTTCTGGGATTATATTGTTAAACGTAATTCAATACAAGATGTACGATACTCTAAAACGAGAAGAAACATTCATACAAACGTATGGTCTATATAACCAACAATTCTTATAACAAACTGAGTTCTTCGTTGAATTATTCGTAAGTGAGGTTTCTTAATAAGTTGTGAAATGTTCATTTTGTAGCACAACGTTTAGGTCCAATATGTTACTACTTCTCAATAAAACGTTTTTAAAATTTATGGTTGTTTATCGAATCGTTTAGTCCATCCCATGCATTTTAAGTACACATCGGTTCGAGTACTTATAACAGCGAATGAAAAATGTTCGTGCAATAGTAAAACAAGAATTTTCAGACAAACCATGCATTCTGCTCCGAATTGGATGTCCTAATAAAACTTAAATTCTTCTTCAATTAAAGGACCCTGTACAGATCTTATGGAAAATGGTCCCCGGTTAAATTAGCTGAACTTCTGATATGATGCAGTTCATGATGTCTTGGTGAAATGTTCCAATGGGCCCAAGCTCGTAAATTGAATAGTTTCCGAGATACGGGGGATCAAAAGTCAATAATAGTGCGCCTCATTCTAGACTACCAGGTTTGAGCATATTTGAGTGTAAGAAGCACTATTGTACACTGTCCACTTATTTGACTCCTTGAAACTCAGTAGTTGTACTGCGAGCTCTTAAATATTACCCCTTGACCCTCTGACCCTCTGACACCCCTTCAGGAGTCAAAATAAAAAAAGCCAAAAAGGTAAAAAATGGTTCTCTTTTTCATTGTACAAACATGAAGCACCGTCGACATTAGCATTACCCAGTGTGCACCACGAGGAGGTTGCTTAATCGGATTTTGCACACCATGTGGCCCTGAAGAGGGCCGTTTTTATAGTTCTCTCTATTCGACCATAAGAATCTCTGGTCGTATTTAGAAAATTGCCATCCGAATATCTGGCATGCCTTTGATGACGAGCAAATCCTAAAAACCTTAAAACACTTGCAATATGTGCGCATGTACTCAATGTTTTGGTACCGGATTGACAGATGCAGTAGTAACCATTTATTACTTCCTCTTCTAGTTCCAGTTCATTTTTGGGATTGTGATAAATAAGAACTTGATATTTGGTACGATTCCGAACGAAGTGTCAATCTGCGCTAACAGAGGGTATCAGGACAATATGAATGTTGAGGTTGTTATAAACAATGATCGAGCAACCTCCTCGTGGTACACACTGGGTAATGCTAATGTCGACGGTGCTTCATGTTTATACAATGAAAAAAAGAACCATTTTTTACCTTTTTGGCTTTTTTTATTTTGACTCCTGAAGGGGTGTCAGAGGGTCAGGGGGTCAAGGGGTAATATTTAAGAGCCCACAGGGTCACAACAGTGCTTCTTACACTCAAATATGCTCAAACGTGGTAGTTTAGAATAAGGCGCACTATTATTGATTTTTGGTCCCCCGTATCTCGGAAACTGTTCAATTTATGATCTTGGGCCCATTGGAACATTTCATCAAGACATCATGAACTACATCATATCAAAAGTTCAGCAAATTTAACCAGGGGCCATTTTCCATAATATCTGTGCGGGGTCCTTTGAACGTTTCTCGAGTTTTCCTGAAACCTATTAAGAGAACCAAGCATTCGGAAAATTGATTTCTTTTTCAAAAGTAATAGTATTCATAATACAAGAATATGGATTGTATATAATACTGCAGCACATTTAAAAAAACTCCCTCGATTACCAGATATTAACCCTATTAAGCATGTTTGGCTTGATTAATACTTTAATCAACGAATGCAATAATATTACTAATAAGATCATATCTAATTTAGTTAATTCAATACCTAGAAGGCTAGCTGCAATAATAAAATCAAAGGGAAACCCTGCTAAATTCTAATTATAAATATTAATTTTACAATTATTTGTTGTTTTTATTACAAATGTTTAAATTACTTGTACCCTTGATAATGACAACAGAACTGAAGAAAACATGTAACATGTATTTTGAAAAAATATTGTTTAATAAACATTATTATTCAGCATTTTAGTCGTAATTAGTCACTGTACGAATACGTTTTACACCCACTGTACTATCACCTTACAAAGACCTGTTAAACTCGAGGTCGGACGACGTAAGTAGAAACAGCGGCCAATGATCAGACAATTTTAAATTCAGTTTATTCGATATCAAAATCTCATACAAACAAAATTTATTCCTATTTCACAATTTGTAGAATTAATTCCTGTCACGTTTGTTCAATTATTATTGAGTCACCCTATATAATTCAATGCATTTGTAATATGTGATCATTCGAAACGAACACTTTCGAGTTTTTCTGAAACCTATTAAGTCTTTCTTTCGAAGTATCTGGAAGAATTTTTTATAATTTCTCGAATTATTAACAATTGTACTGAATATGAATATGAATAAAATCAATTCCAAATTTTCTATTTGAATAAATATTTATTTCCAATAAATTCAATTCAATTGATTATTTTATATAAGATATTATGCTCAGAATAGTTGTTCGTTATTCACAAGAAATTATTCTTCATTCAAACGAATAAATCATTCAAATCATTTCAAATAAATACTCAATTAAATACTTTTGAATAAATTCCAATCAATCGACCATTACACAAATAATAGAACGAATAACTGTCACATTCAATCGAAACTGGACATTATTGAAGATAATTGTTCAAATGAACTTTTTTATTCGAATAAAAAAAATATTTAATCGTTTGAATAAATAATATAACGAAAAAACGTATCCATAGAAGGCGTGTCGACTTACTTTCCGGTGCGACTGTACGTCACGCGACGATCTCGCCAAAACATAGGCGGTGACGTTGACTTCGTTTGACTTTGCAACGCCGCCATTGTTTCGCCAAAATTAATCCCTGGGTGAAATATTTGAATAGACGCCGGATTTCCGGGCGTTATTACCGGGATTCCCCTCTCCCATTCGTGTGTGCGAAAGAGATTAAACCAATTAGAGAGACGACTTACCTGATAGTCCATATAATTCCCGTAGCCCATGTGGTTGCAGGTACAGGCGCAGGCCTGGATGTGCCTCCGCATGTCCAGCTCGACCTCCTCGCCGCAGACACCCCTGTTGGCGGCCATCATGGTGTCTCCCATGCAATAGCCGCTGGTGCAATACATCCTCGGGTCGCTCTGGTCCAAATAACCGCCGCCAGTGTCGTCGTAACCGAGCCCACTGGCGCACCGGGAGTCCGAGGTGTATCCCACGCGGGATTGGGGACGCTCCTCGTACCCCAGCCTGGACTGAGACCGATGAAAGGTCGGAGGAACATCCTGCTACAGAGATTTTTCCCATAAGCTACGCTACGCGATCGAAAGATGCGGTTGCATCTACTCAAAGAATCGTGTTCTGTTAAAATACGATCACGTTTAAGTGTAATTTGTCCAAGTGGGGCGAAACGAGGAGCATGGATTCCTCTAGCGAAAAGAAAGCGAAAAGTTCTTTGTCGTTTTCAAATCGGACGCTCCGTTCTCGAGATACGAGCAGTTGAAATCCACGAAGGTCACGCGCGCCATTTTGGCACCGATCAGCTGATCCGACTTCGATTGCTTGTATTTCGAAAACGGAGCCTCCGATAGAGAAATGGCTAAGGACTTCTCGATTTCTTTTTGCGAGAGGAATTCGAATCGTTCGATAAATGTATTCGATATTATAGAAGATGATAGATATAAATATTATTATTCTAACTCACGCGCCAAAGTTCAGAAATTACTGATTTTCGACCCGGAAAATTATCGACATTTAAATTGTTCTATCTTCGTGAACAAAAAGTGTACAAATTGTACTATACTTTTTGGATATGTATTAATATCTCGAAAACGAAGGCCCCTTTAGGGTTTTTTGATACTAGGTATGTACCATGATTTATACCTGCTACCGTTTCAAAAGCGATTTCCACTGCCGGAAGCTCCCCTTGTAAGAGAAATATACATTGGTTGTATCACAACGCGGCACGTGTACATTGCACGTGGTTTCGACACGGAGTGGGTAGAAAGGACGCGTACGGATGAAAGGAAGGACTCGTGCATGGGAAACAAGAAACGCGTGATTGTGTCTTGTCACTAGAGCCAGCGCGTGACACGCCAATCAACGTACAGCGCCAAAACTGCGAGTATTAAACTCTGTCTATCAATTTTCTTGTTTGAAAAGTGAATAAAGTTCCCTTAAACTATTTAAAATTAAACATTCTGAATATGTATTTTCAAACCGTCTTTTTTAGCAGTAATGAAAGCTTTTTTAGCACTACTTTGTCACGTAGTGGTACAGAAATATTTCCAATTAGTGCCATCGACAAAGAGCGAGATCCTAAATTCCCAATAGTATTATAAATATTAACTCTAATACAATGGCAGCGTTCGCTGAAATTCATTTTCATAGGGCCAATTTTAAATTGTCCATGTTTTTGAAAAGATGTCCGTCAAGAGGACAAATGGAGCTATGTTGTCACTTTTATTCAGATTTTTAAACATTTCTCCGGTACAAAAGCAGTCCATTTGGTTTCAAACAATTGCAAAAAAAAGATAAAAAACAATTTTTTTTATAATCTGTATAATTTTTATTTGGTAATGTCTTCGCTACAAGCAGCCAAAAGCGCATTATAATCCGTTTGTTAGTTCAGCAGCTATAGTCTTTTGAAAAAAAGTAACGCTCAACTTTACGCGTCTGTAACTCTAATAATTTACAAAATTTTTAAAAATTCTTTGAGATACGTATAAATATCATTCAGCTCCAAAGTTGAACATAATTTGAAAACTTACTCCAGAAAGTGTCCGACTTCGTATTTAATGACCCTTTACCATTTTAAAATCGAGTGCTCCGTTCTCGAGATACGGACAGTTGTCTACCAAGGCCGCCTCCGCCATTTTGGTCCACAGTCTGTAAATTTACGCGACGCCAGCTGCACACACTCGGCGCGTTAAATTTAATTGCTTATATACGAAGGATTTTTAAAAGTATTCGTTTCGACTTAATCTTTAGTTTTAAATGCTTTAGTTTTAATGTTAAAGCATCTCCACAGAGAATTGGTTCACTAAATATATGTATACAGGGTGATCGCCCACACCCCGGAAAAATTTTAATGGGAGATTTTAGAGGCCGAAATAACACGAAAATCAAGAATACTAATTTGTTGATTGAAGCTTCGTTGAAAAAGTTATTAATATTTAAAGTTCCGCCTGTAGAACGGGCTCTGGAGCTTCATTAATTCGCATTGTTTGATTTTGAATCATTAAAATTCTTCAATCCATCCAGAAGTTATGATTTTTTAAACATACGCATGAAATTTAAGGGAAACATGTCATGTATAGTCAGACATTACATTACATTTTTTTTCTTAAATGTGCGCAAAATTTCGGAGGTATGTGTATTCACCAGAAATGATTGTAATTGACCCCTGCAACCAAAAATAATTTTTCCAGAACAATTTGAAATTTTTTAATTTCAGCCGAAAAATTGTACTCCCGTAGATTTGTCTTAAAAATTCGTTTTTCATTTTTGATAAGTTTGTTTGAAGTTCTACGGAAATTTTGTTTAGTACTTTTTTGTATGTATCCATAGGCTCTACTTCCATACTAAATTTCAATGAGATCCATTGACTATTGTAGGAGTTATGGCCGTTTCAAAATTTGACCAGTTTTATGGGGTTTTTCTAACTTTACGGGGTAAAGGAACAACTTTTCCAATATTTTTAGAATTTCTACATGTTCTTCACTAAAATACGTGTTGTTTGCCTTTTGAAACATTGAAATCCTTCAATCCGTTTAGAAGTTGTGACATTTTAAATATACGCATGAAATTTAAGGGAAACATATCAACGTCTAATCAGACATTATATTTTCGGTAAGGAATTTTTGTTCTCGAAAGTGCGTAGGATTTCAGGGGTATGTCTATTGACCAAAAATGATTGTAATTGACCCCCACAACCGAAAATAATTTTTTCAGAGTATTTGAAATTTTTTAATTTAATTTTTTAATAACTTTTTCACGAAGCCCCAATCAACAAATTAGTATTCTTGATTTTCGTCTTATTTTGGCCTCTGGAATCTCCCATTAAAATTTTTCCCAGGGATGGTCAAACACCCTGTATCCCTCCGATCTAAAACAGTGTTTTCACCCGTTTAAATAGTTTTCTGTTTACTTTGGATATTTCCATTTATCGTTGTTTCAGTCTTGTTTTTCTGGTATAATATTTTAGACTCGTTAAAATGCTGCCGAATAATACTAAAACTTTGTAATATCTAAGACATTTCACGTTTCGTAGAACGAGGGAAGAAATTTCTCCAAGGACTCGAATCACCATTGGAAGTCCCGTTCTGGAATTAAAAATGAAAAAAGATTGGCGTGTTGCAGTAGTGCATGCGCAGTACGCATCAAAATTGCATCACAAGCCGAGAACGCGAAACGACCGCCGGGAAGAATACTTCCATTTTCAGGATTATTGGCAAAGAATAACGTTGATTTATTTTCGGCAGGATCTCCCAAGCCTGATCCCGTTTCCTCGTTGCCTCCTTCTCGTTCTTTCCTTCGTGCTACGGCGCGTAGTCGGCGAATTCCTAAAATATGGCGAGGAAACGCAAGCGTAAAACTGGGCCAAATCGATATCGGCCAGATATACGTACAGCAAAACTTCGAACTTTAAGCATGCACGCTGGCTCGAATCAATTTTCGGATCCCGAAAATCCATAAAGGCTGCTGGAAGATTCAGCGCCGCTGAAATCGTTGAAACGAACCAAAACTCGCGATTTCTGATCGTCCCGCTTTCTGCCGGATGAACGGGCCTCTGTTACCGAAGCTCAAATTGCTTCGACTGTTGTTACAGTTTCAGTTAATGACGGATACTTCGACATTCGTTAGAAAACAATTCCAATAACGAATGTCGTCGAGCAGAAGAGTTTAAAAAATTGTTAGAATCACTGATAATGTAGACGAGGTCTGGGTTAGGCGTGGATGGAGTAAACGGAAAAATCTGTCGAAATTCAAGAAATTAATAAAACTCAAGAAGTTGAAACACTTTGGTATTGGAATAGTTGATCGAAACGTGAATATTTGAACTGTCATCGAAAAAATCGATTTTCTAACTGCCTGATCTCCTTACTAAGCGACAATGACTCATTTTTCTGGCACTCCAGAACACGATCTTATTACCCTTTCAGAAGTAGGTTAAAAACAAATTATATCGTGTTTGGTCTTATTTTAATTGGATAATTCTCAGAAATACATTGATAAAAGTTTCATTAAAAAAAAAATTCATCTTTGCATTATGTACTATGTATGTATTATCTCATCGATATTCGAGCATGTCAAGGAGAATCCACTCTCAGTAGTAGGGGTGACTTTTTTTTTAAGTTTTTTTAAATTAACAAAACACGAACAGACGGAGTGAATGTAGTAGTACCAACATTGTTTACAAGTATCTCAAGAACTAAAACCAAATAGCAATTGTTGTTCAAATAAAAGTTGTTCACAATTTCGTCCTCCATAACACATTCAAAAATCATTGGTATCGTTCCACGTATACTATAGATTTAACAAATTTTAAGTTTTCTTGTTAAAAAAGTGCAAAAGCGCATTTTTTTATAAGGATTGGATACAATCATCTGTGCAAAATCCGAAAAAATAAACGAAATTAGTGCGAAACCACTAAAGTGAGTATTCGCCATAATTATACTTGTTTCTAACAATAAAGAATGCTGCGTGTTTGCATTCAGTAATCTACTTCGACATTCGTTAGAAAATTAACGATTCAAATAACGAATGTCGTCGAGCAAAAGAGTTTGAAATGTCTGTCGAAATTTAAGTTAATAAAACTCAAAAAAGTTGAAACACTTTAGTATTGAGGCACTTGATCGAAACGTCAATATTTGAACTATCATACATTCACCAAAGGAAATCGTACCTAACAGACTTCGTGGGTGTATTTTAAATGTTGTACCCTCTACTTTCACGATCCTAAGTTGTTCGGCAAACCATTGATACTAACATGAGTTGCTCTAAAAAAATTTTCAAATTTCAACGGTTCCTGAAAGTTTAACAAATTTTTTACTGAACCGAAATATATAAAAACTACAAAATTTTGCTTGGTTTTGAACGAAGATTGTATGAGTAGCAATGGTAAAGAAACGATGCAAATTTATTATTATATCGAGTATTTTATGGCATAAAGCACACACGATTCGAAAGATGAATAGGTATTTTCATGAAAATAATCTCATTTCGTGCGAATATAATAAGTTTTATTATCGTTGTTTATAGCAATGCTGAGGACGACTCGTTC